TCGTAACAGGGCCAATTCTTCTCTTGCTCTCGAAGAACTATAGTCACAGGAGAGAAATCACAAAGGCTGATGATCAATAAACACCAATAAGACTCAAATGCCCAGTATTCCCACCATTCTCATCTCATTATGTTTAAAATATATAGCAGCTGCCATCTACATTTTACTTTGTTACAAAAGCAAAGGCAAACGTTTGACAGAAAGGTGGTAATTAGAATCTTATTTTCTTACATATTCATGTATGACATCAAAGGAACAAATACCCTTGTACTATATACTACTCTCTCCCACCCAACACACACACATACACACACACACCCCCAGCATACAACCTCTCCACATTGGAAAGACAAAAATACTACCATGGAAATTTGTATTCAGATAAATACTAATACAGATCCAATAATAATCATAATCTGAGGTGCATTTTATCACTAACAACTTGAAAAATCAATGCCCAATACAATCACTTTAACAAAATGTCCAGCGGTTTATTAAAGCTGACTGTATGCATAGCCTGTGACCCAACAACTCAACTCCAACTCTGAGTCCCACCAAAACATGCACATAGGTTCACTAAAGGCATGTGTAAGAATGTTCACAGTGGCATTCTTCATAATATCCAAAATCTAGAAACAACCTGTCAAATAATAGATTGGGCTGGGTCTTGTCCCTGGTTCCTGGAGATAACCTCTAAATCTTTGGAATTTCCCAAGTGATAAGAGTGTCTTTACCATTTATGGTGGTCTCTGACCAGACCTGAGTTTAGGCTAATGAGAGGACTCTGGATGGGAGTTGTCTGCGTAAGAAACCCAACCAATGACTGCAGGATTGGGGCTTTGAGCCAGGTGATATCACTCAGGAAGGGGAGCAGAAGCTGTAGGGTAAGTGCCATCACAGGGCCAATGAGTCCATTGGTCATGCCCAAGTAATGGTGCCACAATAAAGCCTCTGGGCACTGAAGCTCAGATGAGCTTTCCTGACTGGTAATCTTACATCAGTGTGCCAAAGAGGTGACACCATCTATGGACCTCCCAAATCTTGCCTTCAGTGAGTCTCTTCATTTGGCTGGCCCTCATGTGTATCCTTTAAATAAAACTGTAATGGTAAGTACAACACTTTTCTGAGGTCTGTGAGTCACCTCGAGAATTATCAAACAAAAGGGTAAGGGGACTCCTTAAATTGTAACTAGCTTGTCAAAGTGCAGGAAGTATGGGAACTCCAGAGCTTGACGCTGGTGACTGCCCTTAACCTGTAGACTGCGACCTAGCTCCAGGGGGTTAGGGTGAGCATTGCACTGTACAACCCAAATTTTCAGCTACAGTACATGAACTGTGGTGCATTCACACAACAGAACACCCAACAGCAGTGAGAATGAACAAGGGATGAATCTCACATACATAATGTTGAGCAAAATATGCCCACACACTAAAGTGTACATATATAATTCTATGATATAATTGTCAGTAACAAGCATCTCATATCTGTGGTCTTAGAAGTCAGGAGCCAAGTCATACTTGGGAGTAAGAGGGAGTCAGAAGTGGGCACAAGAGACTCTGGGGCACTAGTCATGCTCTGTATCTTGATCTGGGTGCAGGTTCCACAGGTATGTCCACTCTGAATATTCAGGCTATTGACACTTGCTCTGATAATTCTGTAAGCAGATTACACTTAGATAACATTTCCATCAAAGACTGTCAACGCCTGCCTGCCTTGCTATGTCCTCAGCGATCACAACCAGATAGGATCATCCTCTAATCCAGGTTCTAATTTAGCATTTGGAGGTTTTCATTAAATTAAGTGCTATTTCCTGTACTCAGGGAAGAAATGTAAATATATGTCATTGTCATTTGATCCTAGAATTTGACAGAGATGTGCAGCTCTAAAAAACCTACTGGAAAAGCCTCTTAAATACATTGAGATGGAAGAATTAGAGGTTACATATTGAATACATGCAATTTAGAATTCATATAGAAAACATAAAATCTTAAAAAGTCAACCACCTTTCCTTTCTTCCTCAGAAATGTCATGAATTTTCTGGTTCACAAACTCAGCATAGGATGCAGCGTACCAAACCTGCAAGAACCAAACAGATCATCAAGAACTACAGGATGCACCAGTTGTTCCTAGCATGCTTAAATTCTTTATCCTGCTTACAAAAACAATTCAGGCTTTTCCACTCCCCACAAAAAAACAAACAACAAAAAAAACACCCCACAGTGTGAACTGACCCCTTTAACATCAGTTTGCTGATGGCCAGTCATGAAATTCATTTGCCAAGAAACACAGCATGATTTTCCTTTAAAAAAAAGTTTTTGTTATTAGAACAACTCCACAAGAGATTACATTTATAGTCTCTTCATCTAAATAAAACAGCCTCTTCTGTTTTTTTTTTTTTTAATCTGTATTTCAACAGAGGTTTTTACACAGCTATAATCCCAGTGGCTTCCACACCAACATGCCACCAAATAACTTTCACTAGGATCACCAAGTATGTCAAATGCTGCCACCACCTGCTGAGTGTCTTCCTCCTAGCCCAGTGACTGACTCGTCTGGCTCTTTTTCCTCTCCCTGATTCTAAATTTTGGTCTTCAAAGGTTAGTCCTAGTCCAGAGCATTCTTATTTTCCTTATTTTAACTCCACCCATTTCCAACCAACTCTGTGCTAAAGGCTCCCAAGACCCTCCATCCCAGACCCTCCTTCCTCTCTATTCCCTCTATGTACCTGCTTCCGCTTACCTGATATTTTGAATGTTTTACAAATTGCTCAAATATCCAGAACTGAATTCTAGACCTTTCCCTTATCACACCCTGCCTCTCCTAGCCATCTCAATGAACACCTTACTTCCACCCAATTGCTCAGACTTGAAACCTCAAGGGTATCTTGATTCCCAGTTTTCTTCCATAATCCTTCAGCAAGAACTACTGATTGCTCAGATGTTCTCCATCTCTACTTCTCTCACCTGGATGCGTGCCAAGATGAGCAGGTGCCTGGAGTTCTACCTGACCTGCTAACAAGACCTTTCTTTTACACTCTTGCCTCTGCCAACCCAGAGTGGTCTTATTAAACACAATCAGGGCCCTCCCTGGTGGCGCAGCGGTTGAGCGCTGGGTTGCGAAGCTGCCCGCAGCCTCTGCAGCGCCGGTTTGATTCCCGGCTGCTCCCCGGCCACCAGAGGAGGGCCCCACATGGTGCGCAGACCTCTCCTGCCGCCCGCTGCTCCCCTTAGCCGTGTACTTCGGTCCTTCTGCCTGCTCTGCTCCCCGCTCTGGCTCTGGTGAATTCTCTCACCCTCCTGCGCTTCTGACTGTACCCAGTGCATGTATAAACGAAACAAACGAACAAATAAATAAATAAAAACATGCCTCTATAAAAAAAAAAAAAAAACACAATCAGATTTCGTCATTCCCTAGCTTAAAAGGCAGCAACAGTTTCTCATTTTATGATAAACCTGAAGTGCTCCAGGATGGTCTCCAAAGGGTTCCGTGATCTGCCCCTACCTCCCTAAGCAATTAAGCTCTTACCACACTCCCTTGCCTGCCCTTCAGCCAAAAGGCCCAGCTGGCAGTATGCCAAGTTCTTTCCCACCTCAATCTCTGCCCTTGCTGTTTCACCAGTGGGAAAGATGGGTTCTTCATCTTCACCCCTCCCCTCACCCATCTACATCACTGACCCCTTTATTCCACAGTTCTCAGCCTAAAGATGTATCTTCTGCAAGGCCTTCCCTATCCATCACACCCAAATTGCCCCTTTTCCTGTTATTTCCTTTTACATTTCCTTTGTAGCATTTACGACATTCAATATTTGCATTTACATCTTTCCACCCATCTCCCTTCTACAATATAAATTCTCTAAACATAGGGAAACCAATCTCACTTTTCCTAGTAACTGTAGGAGTTCAACACATTAATCACTAAGTGAATTAATCATACATAACTGTTATGGAACATTAACGATATGGAAATATAGATTTACATTGGAAATATTTATATTGAAAACATTTATTTTTAACTATGGAATAATTTCTATGGCATCTACATTCTGTAATTTACTTAATCACAATCCTGTTGGTTGGATTTTTATCATCTTGCAAATATAAATTCTACTCAATTCCATATTTCCAATATGTGTCTATTTCATATTTTCACATTTCAGAAATCAGAATGGGTCTCACAACCCAGAGCATTCTAGTCACTGCCATAATGTACTTCTTTTTCTTTTTAAGGATTATTTATTTATGCATACAAACTGTGGTACAGGCCAGAGGTGTGGGGGAGTAAGAGAATTCACCAGAGTGGGGAACAGAACAGGAAGAGTGATTGAAATACACAGCTGAGGGGAGCAGCAGGCGAGACAGGAGAGGTCTGCTGCCCATACGGGTGGCTCCCTGGCCGGGGATTGAACTCATCGCAGTGGCTGCGGATAGCTTCATAGGTTGTGTCTTAACCCATTGCGCCACCAGGGAGGCCCCATAATGCACTTCTAACTGCTTCCTCATTGTTCCTGCACCCACTTGTGCAAGCCTTTTGTACTATTCTCACTTCATTCAGTTCTGCCCCCTATTGACACCCCATGGTTGTTAACACTTGTCAAGCAACATAACGAGGGGGCAGGGAGGGAAACTGCCATCTTCCTCAGAATAAATAGAATATATTTCAAAGTAATTCAAAGCTGATGTGATCACCCAGCAGGAATTCTCATTAAGATTGCCAACAGTAAAAAGAAGAGAATAAAAAACTGGAAAATTTAAAAAGACTAAAAAAAGATAAGTTAAAATATGGTATTACAAAATTCTAACATGTCTAAGCCCTATCGTTGTTTATAATTGTTTCCTTAGACTAACTTTCAAGGAGGACTGGGTTTCAAGGATTGGCTTACTCAGCCAAGAATATTTTTGCTGTAAGTTGCCAAAAATAGTCTGCAAAATTTTGTAATTCTGTACTGAATGTTTTTTGTTAAACTCTCACATTCATTGTACTATATCCATTTATTTTTGCTAATTTAACAAAAATAGCAATTCACAGCTATTTTAAGGGTTTTTAAAATTATCAATGCTAAAACAAATTTTTTAACATTTCTTTATTATTAAATCTTCCTCCAAATAAAGTCTACTCCTGGCATTTGTCCACCTGACCCTAGGATTTAATGAGGATAGCAGTGTACAAATTCTGTCTTTATATTTCAACTTTAAAATGTGTATTACAATGATTCTGTTGCTTCCTTTTTATCTGTTGTTTCACTTGTTCATTATGCTGAAATATTAGATTTTTATTTAATTGTTCCTGTCTGTCTTTCCCTCTACAGGTCTACTTACTGCTTTAAGGATAAGATGACCTGGGCCTCCCTGGTGGCTTGGGGTTAAGTCTCAGAGTTATCACTGTGATGGCCTAGTTTGATCCCTGGCCAGGAAGCTAACCCACATGTGCAGCACACCTCTCCTGTCTGGCCTGCTGCTCCCCTTAGCAGTGGATTTCAGCAAATTCACCTGTTCTGCTCCCCATTCTGTCTCTGTTGAATCCTCTCAGCCCCTGTACCTCTGGCCTACACCCCAGTTCTTCTATGCAAAAATAAATTTAAAAAATTTTTTAATTAGAAAAAGATACAATAATCTTCCACCATTAAGAAGTACTCTAGTTTTTTCTTATTAAGAATTTACTGGGCTAGGTGGTGTGAAAATCTATTTTTACACATTTTCACTTGGATTTATGGGTTATATAGTTGATGATTAAAAGATGTGGGTTTTGTGCAGATTTGGAACAAAGTCTAGGTGTTTTCTCCTCGTGAAGAGCTCTCTTCTTCTCACTTTTACTGAGGCAGCAAGCAATGCAGTGCTGCCGTGCTGACAGGACCATCGTCACCTACTTGTCACTTCTATCAGGAACATACAGAGTCCTCTGACCCCTCTTTTGGCCATTTCCTATCACAGCAGAATCATAGCAGAATTTTTATTATGACATCAAGACTAAATTTTTTTTTTTTTTAAGGCTTAGGGCTACATTTATTTTTTTAAAGATTTATTTATTTATTTATTTATTTATGCAAGTACTGGGTACAGTCAGAAGCGCGGAAGGGTGAGAGAATTCACCAGAGCCAGAGGGGAGAGCAGAAGGCAGATGGACAAAGTACACTGCTGAGGGGAGCAGCGGGCGGCAGGAGAGGTCTGCGCGCCATGTGGGACCCTCACCGGTGGCCGGGAATTGAACTGGCGCTGCAGAGGCTACAGGCAGCTTCGCAACCCAGCGCTCAACTGCTGCGCCACCGGGAGGCCCAAGACTTAATATTTAGACACATTTCGACAGATAGTTATCTCTGAAGAATAGATCCCTGAAATCAGAATTCAATGCATAGTATTCTTTAGGTAAAATGAAACATTCTGATAAAAACAAAAATCTTGCCCATACATTAGAATTCCACTTTCACAAGATCACCTGTTTCCCAACTAATTTTTCGTTAGAGTGTGTCAATGATGTTAAATCACCCCATCTTCCATCACTCCATCAAAAGTACTGCTCCCCAAAAGAACTATTTCCTTACTTATAGTCATAGGTCTTCGTGTGGAACTCTGGTAGACCCAAATATCAGCTAGCTTGTTTATGGGATTACTATAGATGCCCAGATATAGCATCCACTCAAAAAGTAAGTAAAAATATAAGGAAAAGGCCATTTTTGTAAGAATCCCTTCTAAGGGGTAAAAAGACTAAGAAAAGCATTAACAATCACTATTCCTAGCAAAGGCACCCTAACCCCAGCTCTGTACCTTCAGTTCTTGCTTGGGTTCCACATTCTTTATCGTTGTGTAATATACATGGTGGCCATATTGGTAAGCCACCAGGTTCTGCTCCAGGTGATTCTGGCTGGACGTACACATCATCCAGTTACAAAGAGTCTCATCAGACAACTCAAACCACAGGTCTTCATGCAAGTCCCTGTCTTTTCTGTCTCCTTTATCAAGAGAAACCTGCAGCCAAAGAGAAAGTAAAAAGTCATACACACACACACACACACACACCACACACCATACACACCCCACATCTGATGTCATAACACAGGAAATACTGCTCCTTAAATTACCCATATATCCTGATTCTTCCCTTTGTATCTAAAAAGATACTGAAATTACATCGTGTTCAATATCAAGGAAAAGGATACTTATAAAAGACTCACCTGTAGGAGAATTACCTGGCAAAACCTAGCAACCTGATTATAGTTTCAGTTGATGTTTCATTATTACCTAACATATTTTTTAATCTGCAAATAAAACAGAAAATGCAAGCAAAATACTCTCCATTTCATTAAACTCACTTCTTTTGGGATTCAACTGCATTTATTTATAATGTATAAGCTGGTGACAGGTATTTCTTTTTACAAAGTAATATTCTTTCTTGGAGATCTTGAGCATTCACCAAAGAAAATCCCCCATAACAGCAGCTGATTTCTCAAAAAAAACAACCCCAAATAGTTTCCCTTCCTTCTGTCCCTTCCTGGTATTCCAGAGTGGTTCTTCAAGAAGCAGGCAATTTTTAAAAAAGCAAAGCAGGTTGGAAAAGAGCAAAAGCACCAAAAGTAAGGAAAAGATATCAGTATGAACATTAACCATACAGTGAACTGCTCATTAACAAGAGTCAACAGGAGAGAGCTGTTTCAAAATTAAAAGGTGTGTTTCCTGAAAGCAGCACTGGCATTTAGCAGATGACATGAGTCTACATAAGTTTCCTTATGTTCCAGTCAAATCTGTTTGTTTGTTTGTTTTTTAAGTTGTCACAGCCTAAGTGCTGAATTGTGTAGCTCACATTCATATGGTGAAGCCCTAACACCCTCAAAGTTGAAAATGTGACTGCATTTGGAGGCAGGGATTTTCAAAAGAGGTGATTAAGTTAACACAAGTTCATGAGAGTGGGTCCTAATCCAATCTGACTGGCGTCCTAACAAGAGGAGGTAGGAAACAGAGACACCAGGGGCAACTTTGCAGCAAAGGATGACCACATGCAAAGGCAGCAAGAAAGCAGCCATCTGCAAGGCAAGGCAAGAGGTCTCAGAGGAAACTATCCCCTGCCCAGACCCTTATCTTGACCTTCCGGCCTCCAGATTGTGAGAAAATAAATGTCTGATGTTTAAGCTACCAAGTCTTTGATAATTTGTTTTGGCAGCCCTGACAAACTAATACAGTCCCTGACAACTACACCATTTTTACGCTAGAATTAATCATCTAATGCCCTGGGGCAATGCCCTGAAACTACAGTTTCAGGTGATCTCCATTTCATTGGTAGGAGAAAAAAGTTTTCACTTAAAACAAATTAAGCAGAGAAAGAATAATATTACCAAACAAGGTGCACGAAATTGAATCAAGAAACTCAGTAGGAAAATGTGTTTTCCTTTAAAAACCACTAAGAACAAGTATGAACTATGATAAATCATAAATTACCTTTAGATGAATATAACAGTCTTTCAGCTCGGACTCTCTGACGAGGGGTCCCTCCACAGGACCAAACTGGGTGCGTTTGGGAATGCGTCTTTTGGAGAACACGCCCCCCAGAAACCTGTCAATGTAGAGGACCAGAGGGAGGCTGGCTCTGGCTCTGGTGAGCACCGGCCGGTTGGGGATAGGGTGCAAGGGGCCATGCTTTGGGCACACTGAAGAATGTGCATTATTACACTCCTCACACCCTGCAAAAGAGCAAAAATTTTGAAGTCAAACTCCAGCTTCACTTATCTCAGGTAATAAGTTCTAACCTGAAAAATCCACAAATTTAAGTTTTAAAGCCAAAATTAAGTGAAGTCCTAGGTCACACCACCCATTTGATTGTAATACATCAGCTTTCATAGACCAATAAAGCCCTGTCATTTTCCTCTAAAATCAGGCAGAATTATTAGCATATACGTGCCAAAAATAATATGCAGGCTGTGACTTCTTTCTCTACTGGATAGTAATTTGACTAGTGGCCGCTAAATTTACAAGTCAATTATAAAAAGAGAAAAAAAAAGAAGAGCTTATTAGATTAAATGCTACAAAATCTACTGAGACAAAATAGGTGAATCTTATAGTATATAAATTACCCCAAAAGGTATTTAAAAAAAAACTGACAATATTCTTTAATCTGCTCCCTCAAAGGGAGTCATAGAAGCCTCATTGTCTGGGCCTGTCTGACTCAAACAAAGTGCTATACAGTTTGAGGTATCGATGGACACTGTGTGAGGATAAAGTTCAAAGGGATGAATTCAACATCCCAGCCTTCATGCACTTAAATGACACGACCTCACAGGACGTGTATTTCTAGCTCCCTGTAGGAGTGATCAGTTTCACTAACCATTCACATTCACAATCACTCCCTCCTCCCAGTAGTGCCCATCTGTACAGTAGCTGTTAGAACTGAATGTGGACAGACACAAAACAGAGAAAAGTGATTAGACGACCCACAGATCACACTCACGAGCCTCAACAAATTTATTAAACAATCATATTTTATCCCAATCTGGCTGTGTGATGACTTGGATTTTGATCTCTACAATTCTCCAATAATGGAAAGCTTGTTTGTATTAATACTTATTAGATGAAGTGACTGCCTATTTGACTAAGGAGCTACCTTGAAAACTTAAATCTCAGCACTATCACCGGCCAGGGGGCTAGCCCACATGGTGCAGCAGACCTCTCCTGTTTCTTCCTCAGCAGTGTATTTCAGTAGATCTGCCTGTTCTGTTCCCCACTCTGTCTCTGGTGAATCTTCTCACCTCCCACACCTTTGGCCTGCACCCCAGTTCTTCTATGCAAAAATAAATAAATAAAATCTTTTTTTAAAAAAGAAAGGAAAAAAACTCACACATTCAAAGAAAAGCAAAACAAAGGAATTCTCTATGGGTTCAGGATTGGATGTGAAGCTGAACACTGGCCCCATGCAAACAGGTTTTACCACCACCTCATAGAAGGTGCCAGGAAAAACATGACCAAACCACATATGCTCTGAAGAGCCTCGGTAATTCAAGTAAATGAGATAAGAATTTGGTTGTGAAGCATGGAAAACAAGCACTGACGTGGCGGGGGTGGAAGCAGGAGCCCCAGAGCCCACAAGCAGGGAACACAAAGGGCTGTGGATATTGTGGTTGACCCTGACACACAGGGTCAGGTCACCTGAGTTTGACACTTGACTCTCACCCCAAGTGAGCATGACCTTGTGGAAACTACCTACATCAGAAGACTGTGGGCCCCCCCCCGGTGGCATAGTGGGTTGAGCACAGCGCTGTAAAGCTGTCCGCAGCCTCTGCAGTGCCGGTTCGATTCCCTGCCAGGCAGGGAGAAACCCACACGGCATGGCAGACCTCTCCTGTCTCGCCTGCTGCTCCCCTCAGCAGTGTATTTCGGACCTTCTACCTGTTCTGCTCCCCGCTGTCTCTGGTGAATTCTCTCACCCTCTCATGCTTCTGGCCTGTACCCAATGCTTGTATAAATAAATCAATCTTAAAAAAAAAAAAAAAAAAAAAGACTGTGGAGACATTAAATGAGTTAGAAAAAGTGATGTGCTAGTGCCTGAGATAAAGGCGGCATTTTTAAAAGTTACGGTGAAGAGCAGTCATGTCACAAAGCACAATCATTAAAGCTGAAGTGGCTGCATATCCCAGGACTGGACACACTCAGCACAGTGGTTTGGTAGCTGGAGTCCTGGTATCAGAGAGGCCTGGACTCAATGGCTGACCTGCCGCACAGCCCTGTGTGATGCTGAGCAGTCCGCCTTCAGCTCACCAGCACACCAGAACACGGATGTGCCTGCTCAAAGGCTGTGAGGACTGCGTGGGACAGTGCACACCACGTCTGCAGCCAGGAAGCCCCTGGGCAACATGAACTTCGGCCCCGCTCATGCACCCACACAAGGAACAGCTCTCACTTACATAGGTCATGCGGGTCGAAGGGCCGAGGCGGGTCTGGCTCCCAGTCATCCAGGTCTGTGTCCTCCCCCTCATCTTCCTCGTCTTCCTCAGTCTCTTCCTCCTCTTCTTCCTCCTCCTCCTCTTTGGCATCCAGTCTACTCATAGGATTCTGCAGAGTTGCCAAAGGGTCGGAGCCATCCACACTCTCAATTGCAGGTAATACCTGGTTATGCACCGGTAATGAGGCCTGGATAAAGTTTAATCACGAAGTTAGCACATGCTGAAGGCCAGCGAGCTGATACATACACACACAATACAAAGTTTTAGTGGAAGACATTCTTTGCACTAGTTCCCTTGAAGGTTCTGGAGAAGTTATTTCCAATGATAGGCTGCAGCAAAGAGTCTGTCTTCATTTTTGCTGGTCCTGCCCCACATCTGGACAAGCTGATGAGGAAGTCTGGAGTTTTGAACCTTACAAACCCCTGACTGCATGTCAGGAGCCTGGATACTGACCCCAATCCATAACCCCAATAAAGCCTGACACAGCTTTCCTTGCTCTTGCAAATCATCTCACACCTGCTTGAAAGGTCAGCCCTGTCTCCCTGGGGACTTCAAATAAGTAAGTACTTAACTTTCCAAATACTCTTTGTGCAAGTTATGGTATCATTAGTCTCAACCTCACTCAAGGTAGGTTTTGGATGGGTGCCCCACCTGCCTTTGCACTGAAGATTTGATGTATCTTCAACTCCTTCACTCTCACATGCAACACACGACTAGTAAAACTCAATGGTTAACAGTTCTCTTCTACAAGGCCCAATGAGCACCATAAGTCATGCTGAAGCTATGTCCCTTTCCTATCAATAAACAAAGTCTTTTCCTTTTTTCTTTCATCTGCCCATATGTTGTTTTCCTCAGCTTGAATGTTCTTCCCTCCCCAATCTTCTAAATGTTCCAGTTTCTCTATGATCCATCTCTAACAGATATATCTCTCCCTTTCCCCCAACTCTCTGCTCTGCTCTCCTCCTGTAGCACCTGGAGTCACAGAATCCCATCCACAATATCATTCAGCCTCTGCTTCAACACTTCATCCCCTCCCACAGCAGCCAAGTCATGTTGGGATAGTTCAGTGATGATTTCTGTCGAGTCAAGATCTCCCAGTGGCTACCTTCCAAGCATTGACAAGGACCTACCACTTTCCTCTTGAGTTAGAATGAGTTGAATTCTTCTGCCACAGGAACAAATTTCCTCAAATATTTCAAGACCATATATTTCAAGACCTTAACTCATTTGATTATTTCTCACATGGCCCCATTTCCAGGTCCCGCATCATCTTGTTGTCTTCACTATCTCCCCAGTGGAGTCCAGATTTTTATAAATACAGCATCAGATTGTATGACAGCCACTGATCTACAACTGGTCGGTTCTGAATCTGCAAATAACTAAAATGTCTCAGTTCTTTTTTCTGTCCCTCCACAGACCGCTATTAAACCATTTTCTCCTGCTGAGGACTTAGATAACTGGTTTTTGCTTAAATGCATAATTTTTGCATTTTATTTTATTTCTCCAGTAAATTTATTTTATTACTTTTCTGTTCTTCCAGTCTGCCAATACCTTTTAAAATCTTGATTCTGATATCTTACACATTAGCTATCCCTTAGATCTTAGGACGCACTGCCAAACACTGTCTAATGTTCAGTTAGCATGAATTTTCACATGAATGAATCTTGCCTCTCCATCTGCACCTCCAAGACCATGGGGTTTGGAGTCAGACAAAATTGGTTAAAATTCTAGCCCAACTATTTAGCAAGTTAATACATGTCTCTGAACCTCAGGTCTTTTTTTAATCTATAAAATGGACATGGTAATACAGAATTCCTAGGTTTTGTGAGGATTAAATGAAACAATGTACATGAGGTCAGTAGTAGAGTATCTAGCATTTAGTAAGTGCTCAGTATTCATAATAACAGGTTATTATTACCATAAGTTCTTTGAGGACCAAGATGACATCATGTACTTCCTCTACAACCTTAGCAAACAGTTATGAACATGTAGGTACTTAATGAAGATTAGTTTGTGGAAAGATATTTGGCCCTTTGGGAAAAGACATCAATTCCTTTAGGCATCAAAAGGAATTCTGCTGCTATTTGCAGAAACATCCTTTTTCTTTTTTTTAAAATTTTATTTTTATATTCCCCATACAATTGCAACCCCCTTATTTTGACCCCAATCCCTCCTTTCCCTGCCCTCCCATAGTGTGTCTCTGGTTCATAGTTGTTTGTTGATTTTGATTTTTTCTTTCTTATAGTTATTCATTTTCCTGGCCCCTTATTTAGGTTTTCTAGATTCCTGCTATGAGTGAGACCATCCGGTATTTTTCTTTTTCTTTCTGGCTTATTTCACTGAGCATGATCCCTTCCAGCACCATCCATGTTGCTGCAAATTGCATGTGTTTATCTTTTTTTTTTTATAGAGGCATGTTTTCTTTCTTTCTTTCTTTCTTTGTTTTTGTTTATACATGCACTGGGTACAGTCAGAAGCGCGGGAGGGTGAGAGAATTCACCAGAGCCAGAGCGGAGAGCAGAGCAGGCAGAAGGACCGAAGCACACTGCTGAGGGAGCAGCGGGCGGCAGGAGAGGTCTGCGCGCCATGTGGGACCCTCCTCCGGTGGCCGGGGAGCAGCCGGGGATCGAACCGGCGCCGCAGAGGCCGCGGGCAGCTTCGCAACCCAGCGCTCAACCGCTGCGCCACCGGGGAGGCCCATGTTTATCTTTTTTGAATGCTGAGTAATATTCCATTGTGTATATGTAACACATCTTCTTGATCCAGTCATCTATTTTGGGCATCTGGGTTGTTTCCAAAGCTTAGCTATTATAAATAGTGCTAAAACTATTAAGTGCTAATAGCTATTATAAATAGTGCTATAAACATAGGAGTGCAGGTGCTCTTTGGAATTAATGTTTCTGTGTCCTTTGGGTAAATACCTAGGAGTGGAATTGCTGGATCACATGGAAGCCCTATGTTTAGTAGGTTGAGAAATCTCCACACAGCTTTCCATAGTGGTTGGGCCAGTTTGCCACTTTTCTCCACATCCTCACCAACATTTGTTGTTGCTAGTTTTTTTAATATGTGCCATTCTCACTGGTGCGAAATGTATCTCATTGCAGTTTTGATTTGCATTTCCCTGATTTCAAGTGAAGAAACATTCTTTTTCAAGTGTTCATCCAAGTCTAAGAATTTCTTGAGTTCTATATAGAAACAATATCATGGATGTTTTAGTCTGAACTGCTATGGCAGTTAACAACCATCACCCAACATTTGAAACTCTTAGGCTCCAGAAAGCAGATAAAATCAGTTGCCCCAAATAGCATATCCATGTTTTTGCTGTTGTTTTTGTTTGTTTAGGCAAGTGACTTTCAGTTTCCTTTTATAAATTGAAGCACCACTGGCTTATAACATTTATTTATGTATATTTAACACACATTCATTTAACCCAGGAGCTCAGACATTTACATGAAATTCCACCCCTGGAGCTCAGGGCCTTTTAGGAGCTTTATATTGAAGGATAAAATTATTGGAGATGCTTCTGCTTCAGGTTCAACAAAAACAGAATAAAAAGCTCACTGAGGTGAGGACTCCTCAAGGAAAGAGCTGGGGACATCTGGCAATGAAACTGCCTTTGCCACCTCTCCTGTGTAACCTCATCAGCTTCTCACTGCAACAGAGCTACTCAGTTCGCATTTACTGTCTCCGAGAGCAGTTTTCGTATCACCCTTTATTTTAAGTCACTTAAAATTTATGCCAGCCCCAGTAGTAAATGTTATCACACACTGAACTAATCAAAGCATCTCATTCACCTCTACTCCTCACAAATTCCTTATCTCTTTGCAGAGCCAGCCTGAGAGACTGAATTCAGCAATTCAGTTACTCCTGTGAAACTGTGATGCATTTATTTTCCCAACAGATGCTGCTAGAAACTGTGGTTAGGCAAGGTTGATGCTGGCTTTTCGCCACTGCTTAGGAAGCTGACATTAAAATAGTACCAACCACCTTGTCCTCCCCCATGCTGGAACTCTTCTGAAAGACTGGGGCAAAGGAAAGGCTTGAACACTTCAGCAGTATCTTGAAAATTGCATGCCAAAGCAGTGGAACACATACCAGAAGCAATTGTTGAAAAGGGATAAGAATCAGTGAAGAGGTTCACTTGTAGCTAAGAGCTGTGTATATCTAGATATTTCTAGATAGCATAGATATTAACACAACAGACTTGTTCTATAGATTTGTTTAGTTAATAATTCAAACTCAACTGACATGTACTGAATGTCTGGCATATAGCTAACATCCACTGAGGCCACATAGTTCCTAAGCACAGAATTGAAATCCAAGTTCTGCTCTTCCCCCAACATTACAATGGCCCCTGTGGAGTAAGGACTGTTCAGGAAGGGCAATGGAGGAGGTAAACATGACACACACCTTGAATACCCAAGCAACAAGGAAACCACAAAGGCTCCTGAGGCACTAGCCAAGCAGTAGGGCACTATGCCAATTTTACTTAGAGGAAAAGAAAAAAACAGACACTTTAATCCTGTGCATTTTGTCATGCACAATAAAACACGGTAGGAGTGAAAAGAATTTGTCAAACTGATGGTACACTTTTTCCTTCCCACTTAATATCACTGCCTGTAATTATATCTGAAGCTGTATTATGCATTTCAGGATACAATTTATCTGAGAAGTGAAAGATGAAACTCCACTGGACAGCAGCAAACACAACAGAATGCTCCTGGATTCCTACTGAGACCAATTACCAGTGCACATATTTTCTTCTCAGTGTGTGGGGAGTCACACATGCTCATTTTCAGAAACAAAGAAGGGAACCGTGTTTCTGGGTCTGGAAGGGATGCATAGATGAATAAGGCTGCAAAAGAATTTTGCCACCATTGAAAACAGGACCCTTTTTGCTAAGGGGATAAAGAAACATCTATCATTTGTGTTAAGCCCTCACTCCAACTTTCTTTCCAGAATTTATCCCAGTCACAGAATAAACTGACAGTCACTGAAATGTCATAGCCTGAAATGAAAAACGTGCCTGTTGAAAGATAACAGCAATCAAGAAAGATGTTCGGCCAATAGTTTACTGCCTTGTAAGGTCAGGTTCACAGAGCTACTGAATACAGCTTTGCTTTGGTGCAAAACAAGGCACAAGCAAATTATTTCTGGAGATTGGAGAAGATGAAGGGCCCTGTGAGG